ACAGATGACAAATGCCTTGGAAAAAGACATTCCACCAGGACTGGAGAAAAGCTCACTACTTGCTCTTACTTAGTTTCAAAGCATCTGGGTCTTAGACCCAGGGGGAAGGGGAAGGAACCTGGATGAAGCATCTAACCTTTAAAGAGGCATTTGAATCAAACAATCAAGGCCCAAGCCTTTGCAAGTAGCCCTACACTTACATAACTGCAAATTATTTCCATATAAATAAAGTCCTGCACTTGAAAACTGCACTTTAGGAGTGGGGAGATAACAGCTCTCTGCCTGACAGTGGATTGCCCAGCCTCTGTCAAGGAGAGATTCTGTGCATAGCCCCTGTCCACTCCTTCCATAACATCAAGGGATCTCCAGATTTCCTTCCGTCCCCATCATTTCAACTATGATGGCGGATATCATACAGGAAGTAAAGATATTCAAATGCATCAAAAAGAACAATGCTTACGTATACATGTTGCAGGAGGTTGCCAGCCTTGTTCTGTGCACCTGGAAGAACCGGCACTCTGAAACCCATCATCACATTTTATTTCAATTTGTTCTTCATATCTAAACTGAAGCCCCCTAGGTTGGAAGTTACCATTTTGCAAATGGGGTGGCAGGCATACAATTTCTGCAGAGGAATAGAAATAAGAAATGTGGAAAATCAGACACTGAGCAGCATATTTTCCCTCTTTGCCATCACTTTTACCATAGTTCCACTTGTAGAGCAACTAAGAAGTCACAACATTCTCTGTGTAAGATACCGAGATGGAAATGTGTGTGTGTAGAAAACATGCACATAGAGTTTTGTATCTTTTTAGTTGGCCAACCAAAAGTAATGTCACAACATGCCTTTTGACATTTGTCTCATGACTGCCATGGATTCCTCTGTATTTTATTTTTCTTTTACACATCATGTAGCCACATCAGTGATTTTACAATCTTTGGGACAAAGCAGATAAGACACAGGAATAAAAATGGGAAGGAAGAGGACTCTATTCACATGCTGTGCCATGAGATACATGGGAGGTATATGAGAGACTAGTTTGGATTGAATGCAACCACCATATTTAGAGTTGCTTTGTGACAGCCAAAGTAGCTGTGACAATGTCCAACCCCTAGCAGGAGGAGAAGGAGCAGAAGAGGAGGAAATGACACATTGTCATAGAACACATCATTTCATCATTATATTTGATTTAATACATCACTTAAATATAAAGTATGTATGAACAAATAAGCCATTTCAGAAGTGAAAAAGATTTGTTATAGAACATCCAACTATTATTTCTTTTACAATGAGAAGCAAACAGCGCAGCATTTCAAAAAAACAAAAAAAATAAAAAATAAAGCACACAGCAGCCCTGTTGGAAGGTGCTGGGGCTTTAAAAAAATAAACATAGCAAGCCCCATGAGGAACACGCTGGGGCTGAAAAATAAGCACACCAAAACACAAAGAAAACACAACAAGCCCCATAGGAACGTGTTAGGGCCGGGGGGGGGGGGTGGGGGGGGGGGGGGGGGAAATAAAAAAAAAAAAAAAAAAAAAACAAGCCCCATCAGAATACGTTGGGGCTGGAAAATAAATTACCAACCCCCCCAAAACACAGCCAGCCCCAGCGGAATGCGATGGGCCTGGGAAAAACAACACACCAAAACACAAAAAACATTGCAGCACAGAAACATACCCCCCCCAACCCAAACCCACCCTGCAAAACAAAGTAAATGTACAGTGGTGCCTCACTTAATGATTACCTTGTTAAACAACGGACCCGCTCTTCGATGTTCCTATGGGGGAAATTTGCTTCACAACGATCGGTTCCCTGCTTTGGGAACCAATTCTTCACATTACAATGATCTAAAAACAGCTGATTGTCGGGTTTCAAAATGGCTCCCCGCTGTGTTAAGGACGGATTCCTCGCTATACAGGCACCAGAAAATGGCTGCCCTCTGGAGGATTTTCGCTACACGCTGAGGTATTTCGCCCATTGGAATGCATTGAATGGTTTTCAATGCATTTCGGTGGGTTTTTTAATTTCGCTTGACGGCGATTTCTCTTAAAAGCGATTTTAACAGAATGCATTATCGTCATCAAGCGAGGCACCACTGTACTTACTGAGGAGCAGAAAACAGCTCCAGGGAGTCCCAAAGCCGCCTCCGATGCCCTCACTCTAACCGTTGGGGCGAAAGAGCTACAAAGAAGCAGCCTCTTCGCCTACCAACCGTAGCAAATTTGAATTCCCCACCTTTTCCCCCTACCTTTTTCCGGTCGCCAGTTGAAGCAAAATTTTGCAGCCAGAGCTGGTCACAACTCGAAATGGTCATATGTCAGGATGTTTGTAAGTAGAGGCACCACTGTACTTGTTATACTGTTTACAATTTGTTGTTATTACTTTGTCATAATGTTTAAAAAGTAACATGCTTTGTTACCTCTTGTGTTACTCTTTGCTTTCCTGTTATTAAAACTTGGAAAAAAGTGTGTCTTCAAAGTGTATCTGAAATGCCTAAAATCTCTTTTTAAAGTAGCTTTAGAAGTAATTGGAAAACATTGCTGATCATACTAGTAAAGTAACTTGGTTTCTTTATGCTACTTTTGAAGTGTAACTTTGTTGTGCCATAATTATTGAATGAAGTAATAACAACACTTCTGGTGTAGTGCTTCCAACCTCTGTATACAAACTAGTGGATAGTTTCTGTGTTATATTTTTTCGAGGGAGGTGGGAAGCATGCTTTCTACAAGAATAACCATTTAATTCTTCTCCATGGTGACTCTGCTCTAGATCTGGAGACAGCCAATGCTCGAACGCGACTTGAAGCTGTGCTCCAGTGCCTGCTGGAGAAAACCGATGTTGACCGGTAAGTACTCCATTGCATGAGTTACATTTATATCCCATCTTTCCCCCAGTGAACTACATGTAGATGTGGCGTTTTCTTCTCTGTTTTGCCCTCATAATAGCCTGTGAGGTAAATCAGGCTGAGAAAGTGCAGTTGGCCCAAGGCCAGCCACAGAATTCCTGGCTGAGTGTAGACCTGAGCCTAGATAGACGAGTTCCCGCCGTGGCTATGACATCACACTAGCTTTCTGTGTCTATCAAGACGCATTGAGACTGGCGGATAACCCTGATAGTTGTCTTTGAATAAAGCCACTTGTTTAGATTAGGGAATGGGGAAGCTTTCTCTTGGGGCCAAATTCCAATTTGTGAAGGATTTGGGGAACCGTATTCCAACCCTGCGCTTTCACAGCACTGGGTGGAGTTAAGGGCACAAGTAAGGTTACAAATGAAGAAAACAGCACCAGAGATAATCCATAACTTTTTTTGTATACATGTAAAAAGACAGCTCCCTTTTGTATCCACAGCAGCGTGGTTCAACCTGCTGGCTGAGCATGATGGGCGTTGTAATGCAATATATCTGAAGGGCACTGGTTTTGGAGAAGGATGTCAATGGAGATCTATCCAAAACCAGCAAGTTCAAACAGCAAAACAGGAAACTCCCAACCATTAGCAAAAATGGAAACTTTTTGTCAGAGGAACATGTTCCCTTAGAATGTGGTGGGCTCTCCTTCACAGAGAGTTTTAAGAAGAGAATGGGTGTCTACCTACCTATGAGAAATGAGGTAGTTGTGGATTTCCTGTATTGGCTGGGAACTACGTGACTACTTGGGTGCCTCCCAAAATAGTGGTTCTGTGTGGGGTTGATCATGCCTTATGCAAGGGGAAGCTTTTGATGCCCTGGGAGTACAGTGGTGCCTCGCAAGAAGATGTTAATTCATTCTGCGAAAATTGCTGTCTTACGAAAAAATCGTCTTGTGAAATGAAAAGGAACATTGAAATGCATTGAAACCGGTTCAGTGCATTCCAATTAGCTGAAAACTCACCATCCAGCGAAGATCCTCCATGGGGCGGCCATTTTTGCTGCCTCTAAAGCAGGGAATCCATCCTGAAAACACAGCGGGGAGCCATTTTGCACAGTGGGCGGCCATTTTAGAATCACTGATCAGCTGTTTCTAAATTGTCGTTTAGCAAAAAATTGGTTCCTGAAGCAGGGAACTGATCATCGTTAAGCGAATTTTCCCCATAGGAACATCATTTTGCAATCGCAAAAGCGATCGCAAAAAGGTCATCGTATAGCAGTTTCGTCATTTAACGAGGCAGTCGTTAAGAGAGGCACCACTGTATTTTGTAACTAGATTTTTCTCCTTTAATAAGCAGTGTTTTCAGTAGACGGTTCCCTCAGATAAAAAACACAGACTTTTGACAAAGCCCCCTGATATGCGCTGTTTTTTCCTTTTTGTTTCCCAACTCATCATGGCAGAGAACAAATGGAAGAGGATTCCGGGAAGGCACCATCTGATGCCCTCAGCAAGTAAGGAGCCTTGGCAGTGTTTTAGAACTTATCATTTATTTTATTGGCCGTGTTTGTGTTCTGTTGTCCTCCCTTGAGCTCAACGTGGCATGCTTTGCTCTTCTCTTCCTGCATTATCCTTGTAACAACCGCCCATGTGAGGTAGGTCAGTCTGAGGGCAAGTGTCTTGTCCAAAGGCCCCAAGTCACCCAGTGGGTTCCGTGGCCAAGAGGGATTTAGACCTGGATTTCTCAAGTTCTAATCCACACAGGCTGTCTCCCAAATTTATTTCCTTTGCCGTGTTTGTTACATTGTGATGCAAGGTTGACAGAGGTGCTGCGTTACCAGACTACGCCAGGGGGCGTAATGGTGAAGTGAACTGCCCAGAGATGAAACCAAACAGACACTTGTTGTAGTGTTGAAAGTATTATTTACAATAAAAGTCCATATATACAGGGGTAAATACAGCTTCTCTTGGTCTTTATACAGTCCTGGTCATTCACAGTAGTTCTTCAGTTAGCAATGGTAAATTACAGTTTTCAGTAACCAAATATTGTTACCAATATAAATAGTCCAGCATCCACGAAGTCTTCTCCTCTCACCACGGAGATAGTCTTCCTCCAGGATCTTCTTCTTGCAATATGGCAAGTCCTCATCCAACGATGCAGAATATACAGCAACACGATCACCAGCAACACAACAACCATCCAAACTACCCAAACTACCCAACAGTTTGTCTCTGCAAGCTTGGCTAGTTTTATTCTTGGATAAACCAATCAAATTTGGTTGTCCCACAGCTGCCTCAATTAACTCAGCTGTGCTCCTTTGTTACATGTTGCTTGCTAAATCTGATCCTGTAACAACTTATACACTGAATTGCAATGAACAATTCCCTAGGTTGACTTTGAGACCTGTCAAAGGTTTATGGTTAGATGGGGACTCTGCCAAGATCTGGCTTCTGGGTGGTGGTCACACTATGCTAGCTATGTCTGTTGCGGCTGAAGAATTTATTCTGATCCTACCACTCTGGAGATAATAATCACTCCACAGATGGACCCAAGGGCCATCTCGGTTGACAGTCTGTCTCCCAGAGAAGCCAGAGTGATGCCCTGGAAATTTGGAAGCCAGACAGAATAGTGATGACTATACAGTACCATGCTGAGCTCTTGAATTGATGCATTCCAGTGCAGGGCCAGTCCTCCCATTAGGCAGAGTGAAGTCGCTGCCTCAAGCAACATGTGCTGGAGGCAGAAATGGCCGTCTTCTGCCAGTTTTTCCTGAACTACCCAGCCATTCCCCTCGGTTGGAAGTCGGAGTTGTGTCCACCTTGTAGCCTGTTCTGTTTCCCCCAAATTGTCCCCAGATGGGTTGAAAAACGCTACCTCATCATCTGTACCTAAGGAGTAGTCAACCAGTTGTCTTCTGTACATTCAAATGGAGAAGGGTTTTTTGTCTTCTACTGCAAGATACTCTGCTCGCATTTACATACTTTTGAACTGCTAGGTTGGCAGGAGGTGGGAGAAGCGACAGGAGCTCACTCCGTCGCGTGGATTCGATCTTACAACTGCTGGTCTTCCGACTCTGCAGCACAGAAGCTTCTGCAGTTTAACCCACAGCGCCACCACGTCCCTTCATTATCATCTTAGGGAATAAATAATTAACAGAATTGTTAGGCAGGAATAAAATTTACTCTTGTGCTCCAGTCTAAAATACAGTGGTGCCTCGCTTAACGATTGCTTCGTACAACGAAAAATTCACTTAACGATGGCTTTTTCGGAGCAATCTTGAGCTTCACTTAACGATTTTCCCTATGGGCGATTTTCGCGTAACGATTTCAGGACCATGCTTCACTTAACGATGACAGTTTTAGGTCCCCTTGTTTCGCTTAACGTTTTTTTTACAGTCCCATTTTTGCTATTTTTAAAATATTCTAAAATGTTTAAAAAATGTTTAAGATGCTTGGAATCGTTAGTGCACCTAATAAAACCTTCGTTAACTTAATTTGGCTTTGTTCTGAGCCTTTTTGAATTTTTTATGAATTTTTCCCCCCATTGAAATAGGCTTCAATGCATTTCAATGGGTATCGCTTAACGTTTTTTCCTATGGGGATTTTCGCTTAAGGATGGTAATCCGTTCCAATTGGATTATCCGGTTTTCAATGCATCTCTATGGGAAATGGTGTTTCGCTTAACAATGTTTTCATATAGCGATGTTTTTTTTGGAACCAATTAAAATCGCTACGCGAGGCACCACTGTATTGGTAAAAATGTTTATCCTGCTGTAGAAGGTATTTTTCAAATGTTTCATTAATAATATGTTACGTATGTACATATTACATGTTTCACAGCACGATCTGTAATTTGTCAGTGGGCTAAAACTGGAAGAAAATACGTTTCACCATAACTCCTGGAATCTTCCTACCAGCAGTCAGGCTGACTGGGTGATTCTGGGAGTATACGTTTTTTTTTAAAAAAAGTAATCTTTCAAATTTTGCAAATACTTGAGTAATTGATTCTGCAGAAATTAGTGGTTTTCCTCTTGTGGGCTCTTCTTACCAGCCCGGATTATGGTAGACCAATAGTGATGACTGCATATCCTTTAATGAGGGAGGGCTGCTGTCTCAATTTAGATTTCCATTTTTGAAACAAATATGCAGAAGGCCAGCGAAACAACATTTCTAGTCTTGTCAAAATGCTGTTTACAACAAGAAACACCATCTGTTGTTTCAATAGATCGAAAACCTTCCAGATTGCTTTGTAAAACCTCATTTTAAAAACTATAATGAAGACCCACACCCCAAATCTCTTTTGTCTCCCAGTCTAATAGTTCTGCTGGGAAGGTGGACAAGCAGCCCTAAAGCCTCCCCCAGAGCTGATCTCAGAGTTTGGGCAAATTTTTGTGGATGGTGGCCATCTTTCCCATAGCTTAGCAACAGACTTCAATATCTGATCTCCAGCACCATAGGATTGGGTGGATGAATAACAGCTAAATACTTTCCAACTGCCCATGACATCTTCTATGTGACACGAAGCAAGAACAGGCAGTTTTTACTGGCATAGTCAAGACACATGCTGAAAATGGGTGAAGAAAGTGCTTTTCCTTTTTCAGAAAGGCTCCTTGCTAGAGAATTATGAATTTGAACTGTCAGCTTTCTTACACCCTTGAGTGCTTCTTAACTTGTCTTGCTTTGTGCTTACAGGGACTCTTCTCCCACTGCCACAGGAAAGAGGTATGGGTCTCCATAGCATCTTCTCCTCCACCACCTGCCCCAAATTGGTGACCGTTCAGTGGAGCAACTGAGTTTTGAGTAGGCTTCCACCTCGCTCACCAGCTGTCCCTGGTTTCAGCCAGAGATCTAAAGAAGTCAACTGGAGCTGTGACAGCAGTGGTGGACATTTTATTCCTTTGGGATAGTCCCAACTGGAATCATATTCCAATCCCTTGCTTGGAATTTGCAAAGGGAAGCAAGTTCTGGGTGCCCAGAAAAATACAGTGGTGCCTCACTTGAGGAGGATAATCTGTTCCAGCGAAATCACTGTAGAGCGAAATTGTTGTCAAGTGAGGGGAAAAAAAACATTGAAACGCATTGAACACTGGTTCAATGCATTCCAATGGGCAAAATATGAGTTAAAAAAACCATTGAAACGCATTGAAAACAGTGGGCGGCCATTTTGAAACCCAACCATCAGCTGTTTTTAGATCGTTGTAATGCGAAGAATCGGTTCCCAAAACAGGGAACTGATCATCAAACGAAAATCGCGCTTTGAAACATCGTTTTGTGATTGCAATAGCAATCACAAAAACATCATTGTGAAGCGATTTCGTCGCTTAACAAGGTAATCATAAAGCAGGGCACCACTGTAGAAGGGAAATGTTTTTTTTGGATTCTTTTCACATTGCATTCCCAGAAGCAATTGCAATAGCAATCACAAAAACATCATCGTGAAGCGATTTCGTCGTTTAACGAGGTAATCGTAAAGCGGGGCACCACTGTAGAAGGGAAATGTTTTTTTTGGATTCTTTTCACATTGCATTCCCAGAAGTCCCCAGCTAGCATGGCTGCTGTCTTGGAGTTCCTGGGAGTTGTAATCCACACTTTGTCCAGTACCAAAGCCTGCAGTGTCATCATCCTCTCCTAAGGAGACTGATGGACTGGCTGTATTTGAGTGATTTTGTGAGCAATATCAAAAGAATATGGGACAAAGCCCAGTTCAAGACTCTATATAATTTTGGAAGAGGAAAGGGACTCCACAAGGGGAAGTGATATAGACCACTGGTTCTTAACCTTGGGTTACTCAGGAGTTTTGGACTGCAACTCCCAGAAGCCTTCACCACCAACTGTGCTGGCTGGGGTTTCTGTCTATATAATTTTGGAAGGGGAAAGGGACTCCACAATGGGAAGTGATATAGGCCATTACTCTCTAGTGCTCCCAGTGATGGAGTGTACTGTGTATGTGGATTTTTAAAAAAAGTTTTAAAATTTGATCCTGAATTTTTTTAATGTCTTGTTTTTTGTTTGTATTCTCCCTAGTGCTCCCAGTGGTGGAGTGCACTGTGTATGTGGATTTTTTAAAGTTTTAAAATGAGATCCTAAATTTTTTAATGTCTTGTTTTTTGTTTGTATTTGTCTTTATTAGCAACAAAATTTTAAAACAGAATGGTGCATTAGTTTCTCACATTTAGAGGTGGGCGTGGTTCTGCATTTGGACTACGTACAGCTCCTGAAATCCCCCAGACAGCTGTGCTCTACAGCTGTTGCTCTGGTCTAGAAATGGTTAACCCATTCAATCATCTCATGGTTCTCCTTTCCATTGCTTAGGATTCTTGCATGTGATATAATGCCTGTTGCCAGCTGATGGTGCTCCTTTCTTGGTTCCTTGATTACCCTTAATTGAGACCCCTTGTCTCCAAGAGTTGAGAGAGTTAAGTGACTGAATCACTGTCCTGAAAGGGACCAGAGGAATAATTGAAGCCTACGTTCTGCTCAATGTAGGGTCTACTGTCAGTTCAGAATTTGTAACCCCTTGCTTTTGCTCCAAGGCCCTCCACCCGATTTCCCCATCACCGCCGCAAGAAAAGGAAAGAGGCGGATGAAGGACTTGCTGAGGGGGGGCAGCAGAAACAGAGTGAGTAGAAACACCATCAGGGCCTTGCTGGTTCAGAGTAAAGATCTGAACCATTTTTGTGAACTTCCTGCTACCCGTTATTAAAGACAAGAATAAGTTACGTCTTCAAAGGATGGCATCTAATGTAGTGGTTCTCAACTTTGTGCCCATCAGAAATTTTGGAACTCGGCTCTCAAAGCCCCAATCGTTGATCATGCAGGCACGAGTGCTTCTGGGTGTTGGAGGGCCACAGTTGAGATCTAAAAGGTCAATTTTTATCTGAACCCTTTCCTTCCTTGTCCCCTCTCTTCCAGATACTTATGTCATCAAGCTGTTTGACCGGAGTGTGGACCTGGCTCAGTTCTCTGAGAATACGCCACTCTACCCCATATGTCGCGCATGGATGCGGAACAGTCCCACAGTCCGGGAGCAAGAGAGATCCCCCAGCCCTAATCTGCCCGCCCTTCCTGAGGATGAGGAGGTACTAAATAGGGCTGAATCCTTTCCCTCTTCCCAGTTGGAAAAGGGGCTCCTTAGAGTGGGAACTGAAGTATGAGATGTTAATGCCTTATATTGGCCAGAGGGATTAACACTCATTCCACTCATCATCTTGATACTTCTCACAACATCTCTTGATGGCAAACCAATAGTGTTGACTGTAACCAGCCTAAAAGCTCCTGGTCAGCCAAGCCTATCACTCATTATTTGCCTGTTAGTTGCATTTGTATCAGATTTCAAGTACATTGCCCTCCTCTCCCATGTTAGTCTCATAGTAACCCTAGGAGGTAGACCAGAATGAAATCATGGTTACTCAGTCAGTTTCAATAGACACAGATCGCTGAGTCTCCCAAGTCCAAGTGAATTTTGTAGTCACAGCATGTCACTGTCACTTGCATTTGAACTAGGGTCTTCAAGCACATCCTAATACTGGTTGTTTTTCGGGGGTTTTCGGGCTCTTCGGCTGTGTTCTGAAGGTTGTTCTTCCTAACGTTTCGCCAGTCTCTGTGGCCGGCATCTTCAGAGGACAGCACTCTGTGCTCTGGTGTAGTTGGCTTGGGAGTGCAATATTTATGGCTGTGGGGTAGGCTTTTGTCTTTTTCTGTAGATGGGTGATTAGTGTGTATTGTTGTGCTAAGGAGAAGAGATTATCTGTCACTGGTTGATGGGTGTCATTACTTTCATTATTTGAAGCAATCGTTAAGCGAGGCACCACTGTACTCTTAATTGCTATGTGACACAGTGACTGCAAGAACTTGTATGCTGTTGTCTGTATCCTTAAGTGGTACCAAAATTACAACGCACAGGCCTGGGTACAATTTTCTGTGTGCCCATGTAAGCCCAGGCTTAAAGCAGAAAGTCTTGAAAGTTAGGTCTAGCTCCACCCAAACTTCCTGTTCCTGCCCCATTGCCTGCCAAGAGCTTTCTTTCTGAACAGGAAGCTGGGTCAGACTAGGCCTAGTTGGCCAGAAGTCTTCCCGGTTAAGCCTTTTCTCCCAGGTGAGCAACATTTGATATTTGTAAAGTGTGTGCAAATCAGGTAGAACTCCCAGAATAGTTGTGGGATTTGTCATCCAAGAAATCCAAAAATCCCATACCTAATTCTGTGGTGTTAGAAGAGGGGTTTTCTTGCCTGCTTGGTCTATGGAAACTTCAGAAACCTATCTGACCGTAACCTTGACCATGCTGGGCTGATGTCGCACCCGAGATGACATCTCAGGCTACACCTGGAGAGAAGGGCCAGTTCCCAGGCTGTTTAGAAATGGGCTTTTTTGCTGGGTGTGTGTGTGTGTGTAAGCAAATACTAGGAGGCAAGCTTCAGCTTGCACTTCATTGAGTACAGATAGAGAATCAGCAGGCAAAGATCCAGTACACAAAAAAGGGATCATTATCAGATAGAGGTGCCCAGGATAGAAGGTAACCTACATGGTTCCTTTTCAAGAATGTTGGTGTCTTTCCATCTTTATGCCTATTTTGGGGATCTTGTCACTCCCGTCTTCACCGTCCCATCTCTTTATGATGACGACAATCTGGTGAGGACATCTTGGCTGAAATTCGGAAGGAATGTTCAGGATGTTTTTGAGATGACCAAAGGTCAAATGCGATGCCATTTGGTTTCCTTCCTTATCAGTCCCTAAACAAGCATCTTGGCAATTGGTGTCCCTAGAAAATCAGAGAGTTGTACAGAGTTCAGTGTGGCTCCTTTGGTTCGGGCAGGAGTCGGCCTGGAGCCCGGCTGATCCAGGACATTTTGGTGCCTGAAGCAAAGGACAAGTTGGTGCCCCCCCCCAGCTGTTCAAGCAAATTTAGGCTGACCAGATGGACCATTGATGCTCAAGGAATCCCATAAAACCTTTCTGCGCAGATTACCTCTTCCCTTGAATAAGGGGTGAAGGAGCGTTCTTAAGTAGAGACCCCACTGTATCAGATAGAGGTGCCCAGGATAGAAGAAAACCAGCTGTACATGGTTCCTTTTCAAGAATGTTGGTGTCTTTCCATCTTTATGCCTATTTTGGGGATCTTGTCACTCCCGTCTTCACCGTCCCATCTCTTTATGATGACGACAATCTGGTGAGGACATCTTGGCTGAAATTCGGAAGGAATGTTCAGGATGTTTTTGAGATGACCAAAGGTCAAATGCGATGCCATTTGGTTTCCTTCCTTATCAGTCCCTAAACAAGCATCTTGGCAATTGGTGTCCCTAGAAAATCAGAGAGTTGTACAGAGTTCAGTGTGGCTCCTTTGGTTCGGGCAGGAGTCGGCCTGGAGCCCGGCTGATCCAGGACATTTTGGTGCCTGAAGCAAAGGACAAGTTGGTGCCCCCCCCCAGCTGTTCAAGCAAATTTAGGCTGACCAGATGGACCATTGATGCTCAAGGAATCCCATAAAACCTTTCTGCGCAGATTACCTCTTCCCTTGAATAAGGGGTGAAGGAGGCTACAGTTGTGACACACAGAACATGTTATGTGGAAGAAGTGGAATAATACCCACATTCACTGCTTGGAGGTCCTTTGTGGGGAAGTAGAGATAGATTTATAAATAAGATATTTAGCAAAACTCGCTTACAACTCTTACCTTTTTCTCTCTCATCTCAGGGAGCTGAGGGACTGAATGGAAAAGCCCAGGATGTCTTCAGGCTGCCACCTCCAACCACCTCCCAGACCAATGCCGCAGGGGAACCCATTAACCTCCGCGTCCCTGCTCCGCTGGAGCCCGAAGAGGATGCAAAAGCAGCTCTAGACATGGTCAGAGCACCTCAAAGCTGGGGGACAGGGAGGTGCAGGTGGTCATAACAATCCGGCTGGTCCTTAAGGTCCAAGAGGAGCCACCCTGAAGGTTCAGTTGATAATCAGGGATTTTCCACTGCTTGCCTTTATTTATTAGTTTTATATTGCTCCTTTCCTCCATGAAGCTCAGCCTACATGGCTCCCTTCCTCCCCACTTTTGTCCTCTCAACAGATTTTGGGGTGAGAGCAAGTGACTGGCCAACATATGATGATAGTCATCATCTTAGAACTGCAGAACTGGAAGGGACCCTATGGATTATCAAGTCAAGCCCCTGTCAAGGAGGCCCAGTGGGGAATCGAACTCCCAACCTCTGGCTTAGCAGGTAGATCCCTAAACCGTTGAGCTATCCAGCAGATCACCTAGTAGATTCTGTGGGTGGATGGGGACTACAGCCTTCATCCGTCAAGTCCTGATCTAAGACCCTACCTACTGCGAAGAATCCGTCCCTAAACACAGCAGGGAGCCCTTTTAATTACCCAGCGGCCATTTTGAAACCGCCGATCAGCTGTTTAAAAAAACATCATTTTGCAAAGAATTGGTTCCCGAAGCAGGGAACCGATAATAGCAATGCGAAAAAACCCTATTTAGACCATCGTTTTGCAATCGCAAAAATGTCGTCGTGAAGCAGATTTGTCGTAATGTGGGGTAATCGTAAAGCGGGGCACAACTGTATCTCCTGGTAGATAGATTGTACACAGATGTGCTGTGAAATTCCCCCTCTACTAGATCAGGCAGTGCTTTCTGATTTTTTGCTCTCTAAGCTGCAGCTGTTCACTAAAGGCTGGGTTGCCCAGTAATCACTCTTTTTTTCCATTACCTGTGTATCTACCTATAATTTTTGAAGTGGCATCTTGGGGTGGTTTTTTTATGCTTATGTGCACCAGAACTTGGAAAGATTACTTGGTTTTGACAACTCCCACAGTGGCCATACGGTCTAGCAGTTTCTGGGAGTTGTTATCCAAAGATATAACGTTGATATTTACAGCTTGCATACTTTAAGGGGAGGGGCAAGGATTGGGTAGAGCTTCCCAGCTGTTTGTTTTGCTGTTGAACTTTCCTTCCCCTCCAAAAAAACTAGCATATTCCTCTTTTTTTTTTTGGTCTGGTCAAGTAGTATGAATAGTACTTGAGTTGATTTGCTTGTTCTGCCATTGTTTTTAGCCCTGTTTGGCTTTAGTAAAGTGCCGGTGCCTTCTCCTTCCCCAGTTCCTCCCGACTGAGGCTTCTGAGGCAGTGCCGTCCATGTCCACCCTCATCTTCAAAAACATGGAGCGATGGAAGAAGATCCGGCAGAGGTACAATGCTATCTGGCCCAGACACAGGAGGTTGAGATACTTTGCAGAAATGTTATGCTGATGGAGGGGAAACAACTAATTTGAGCAAAACTGGAGAAATGTGCGGATGGCAACTCCCATAATTCCTTCTCATTGACCTTCTGTGCGGGGCTTCTGGGAGTTGAAGGCAAAAAAACATCAGACAGAACAAAGGTTTCCCAGCTCATGTCTGAAGGAAACCAGAAAGGTCCATTCTGGGACTGTGGCTTCAATAAGCTGCAGGATTCTGTGAACTGTGATTTAAAAAGGTAACGTTTTAAATTCTGTGTGGAAAGATTAATGGGCTACAGCTGACCTGTGCTTGCTCCCCCACCCCACCCCCCACATCCCTATACAGGTGGAAAGAGGCTTCACACAAGAATCAACTACGATATGCAGAGAGTATGAAGATCCTGAAGGAGATGTATGAGCGGCAGTGAGGGAAGCGGCTTCCCCGTCTGGAAGCAGCTGAACTTGTCTTGTAGCCCTTTTGCTCTGTAGGGTCTCTTGTGCCTAGTGTCCTTTTATGATGTGGGTCGACATCATTTGCTTTTGTGCAGCAATAAATGCCATATTTGGAGTATCTCCGTGCGTGTCAATCCAGGTGTCCACCCAACCTAAAAGATCTCTTAGGCCTGTCAAGTGGAGGGATGAAAAGTTGTCTGCTGGCCCAATTCTTGCCCTGCCCTGCCCGTGTCATTCGGTTTTGCTTGGTGAAACAGCACATCGCCTGGATCTCATGCCCATGTGACCTGATGTCGTTAGCAGTATCCTTGTTAAAGGCTGTCCTTCATTTTGTTAAAGGCTGCCCTGATGGCCAAGGGATTGCATAGATTGGCCAGGGCAGCCAACTAGATTCAGATTCCCACTGATGCTTATGGTGTGGCTTCGGGCCCCAGTTGGAATCCCTTGGATGAAGTCATCTCACATGCTTGCTGTGAGCATAAGGAGAGCGGAGGAGAGTCATTGCTGTTGCCTTGAGCTGCCTGGAGGATAGTCAGGATAATAAAAGGAATACAATCAGTCTTTCAAATTAGCCCCCCCCCCTCCAAAGTTAGTGAAGATGTTTTCTAGCTTACTGGAGAGCTGGCAGAGAGAACCGGAGAACTGCATCTTAGGCTGGCACAGAGAGAAGCAAGATTCACTTCTTTAGGAGGACAGTAGGTTTCTCTGTTTCATACAGAGGAGAAGAGAAGCCTAGAGAACTTGACAGCATTTAAAAACAACCTCAACACTAGATTAGTCAAATGCCAATTTGTCTCATGGCAGTGAAAGCAGCAGGTGAAAATGGAAAACTGCCTTTTCCGTAGATTCAGACCACTGTTCCCTCTGAGTATTATTTGTCCTCTCTCGACAGCCATTGGTTTAGTGGCTTGCTACCAGGTGTATGGGTGTTGTTGTCATTCCTCCCCTCCGCCCCAATTCTGAAAGGTTGGAATGTCTCTCCTGTGCCTGAGTTACCAGCAGCAAGAGCTTGGGGCTCAAATGTGCTCTATCCTTTCCGCATTGATTCCATCTATCTCTTGGAACATGGTCCCTGTAAAACTTTCCTAACACTGAAATTGACCAGCTGACAGTAGCTCTCCAAGATTTCAGCCATAAAGCACACACACACACACACAGTGTGTTTTAAAAACACACACAGTTTTTAAAAACAAGTTAAAAACTTGGCTATTTAAGCAGGCCTTCCCTCCAGTCAGCTAAGTCTTTTTTTTCTCCTCTTTTCTTATTCTATCAGATCTTGGTACTCCTTTCTTAAATTAATTGCCTTAATTAATATTGTAATTCTATTTTTACATTTTTTATATTGATCTATTTTATGCTGTAAGCCGCCCCGCGTAGACGTGGTCTAGAGGGGCGGGGTATAAATTTAATAAATAAATAAATAAATAAATAAGTGGGGATTTGAAACCAGGTTTCCTGAGTCCCTTGGAGCCAGAGGTTGGGAGTTTGATTCCCCACGGTGCCTCCTGCAAGTACAGTCAATCTGTGTGGTCTTGGGTAAGCTACACAATCCCAAGGCACTCTCAGAAGAAGGGAAGAGTAAACCACTTCTGAGTACTCTGTATCAGAAAACCTCAAAAAAGGTTGCCATAAGTCAGAACTGACTTGACAGTGTGTATTTTTATTTTCTGAATCCTGGTCTGACACTACCTGGTACACCACAATGGCACTACAGAGAGATTTAGTTCATTCCAATGCTGTCCTTAACTACCACTTTATTTCTTTTTGGAATGAATTGTGTTATTCATTATAAGGAAAAAAGATCTGAGCACCCTCTAGAGTCTAGATGTTAGTGGGCTCCAGCTCCTATCACCAGGTGATAGGAGTTCATCCACATTTAAAGCCAGAGGTTCTTGTGAGTGGGTTCAAGCTTGGGTAATCTCAATCCTCCATTTTGTTCCCCCAAAAGTGGTGATGTCTCTTTAATGCAAAAACCTTATTTCCTAACAACGGAGAACTATGAACAATAACCATCGTAGGGCCAATAGGTCCCTCTGTCACATTTTGTTTAACAAAACTGTCCTTTAACTCTGGTTTGGCAAAAGAGTTGATCAATAGGGATTCACTCCAAAACATTCATGATCGGTCGGGTTCCATGTCGGGTTCCGCAGGTTGGGGCAGATTGTGCCACAACAAGAGTGTCAAGCCCACTCTCCTGTCACGGATTTATCAATGTCACCCTGGCCCCCTTCCAAAGATCATCTAATTTGGCTATACGTACACGGTCCATTCTATCAGCTCACCCTCACCCAGTTGTACCGCTATTCCTTCTTTCCCCTTTTTCTGATCCTCTCTCTCTTATCCTCAGATGGATTAGCAATATGATATTGCTGCCTTCCCTTTATTTCTTCAATAGGCAGCTTCATCTTGACTCGCTCCTGAGTCCAGGGATCCTCCATTTCTAACTATCTCCATCCCAAAGGTATATCTTCCTCTTTCCCAGCGTCCTTTTTTAAAAATTCTCTCATTCTACTTCCTCCCAATCCACTTCTCCTTTTATCCCTTCTTCCACCTCCATCACTAGATACCCATCAACGATTAGATCCTTCCCCCTTCTTTCACTCCTCTCTTTCTTCTTTCCCGCTCTTCCTGCACTCCCAGCTGGGTCATGGTTGGTAATAAGGTGTAAACTGTCTCATATTTCTCCGTAGTGAGTGGTTGAGGGGATGGCTCGCCCTCCTCCTTCCTGGTAAGAACGTGTTCCTTCTCACAGTTCTCCAGCTCGAAGCAAGGTTACAGTGGCTGAACCTGCCTCTGTTGGCTGCAGTGTATGGCTGAGTTGTTACATGCCATCAAGTCATCTCCAACTTCAGACGACTGCATGGATGAGTTGTCTCCAAAACGTCCTGTCCTCAACCGCTCAGCAGTTGCAAACTCTTAGTGTGTGGCTTCCATTAGACGTCTCATCTCATACAGTATTTGGTCTTCCTCTTTCCCAGCTGCCTCCAACCTTTGCCAACATTTCTGTCCTTTCCAGAGAATCTTGCCTTCTCATGATGTGCCCAAAGTAGGACAGCTTCCATTTCAGCATATGGCTGAGAAGGAGGAGCAATTCTTGTTCCTGTCAACAGTGTTGGATGACTGGCATAAATCCATGGAGCAGCTATTTTGAATGGAACCTGTTCTTGTAGCCTCACCCTGGTCAGGGCTGCAGGAGCTGTACTGTAAGAATATCTGGAGCCTCAGGTTTCGAAGCCAGCAGACTCAAACCCGACAGAACCCATCCCAGGCACTGCCCCTGTATTTCTCCCTATCTATAGATCATGAGTCAAGGGTGTATCCTGCCTTATCATCGCATTGACAGAGAGGAGGCGTCCAAAGGGCTTCTCAGCTTACTCTCTGAAGTTCAGCTGAGAGCCACGGAGCCTCATGACTGCGTGCTTTTTTTCTCACTGGGGTTCCCACAGCCGGTGCCAACATGCCCGGTCATGTGTCACATTCCCCTTTTTATTATGTAGCCTTGGTGGAGCCTGAGGGGAAAGGACTGTTAAGGCCCCACTCCATCCCACTGGCCCTTGAGGAAGAGGAGAGTTACACCAACTTCCACAGTTAGAACAGCCTCATGTCTGTCCTGTGTGTTCTCTTGCACGTCGGTTGTTCCCTCGAGGATGGGGATGTGCCATTAACATTTTTAACATTCTTTTTGTTATAGCCCCGGTATTTGGTATGCTTCGCTTTTCAAGGAAGACCATGTTCCCTCTGCTGATTTTCCTAAAAGAAACAATTTTGGCAAGACTGGCTTTTCTAAGCTCTACTCAGTAAGGGAGTTGCGGCTGGAGTAGGAATCAATGGGCTGTTATTTTCAAACATGCTTCCAAGATAGTGGAAAATGTGAAAAGGGGAGCAGTGTAGAAGCCATGCATAATATACGCTTACACAGATGATTTACAAACAAAAGTATTTAAACAAAAGGTTTCGGCTTCTGCCTTTTTCAGTTGCCTCCATATATATGTGAAGTTACTTTCGTGGGACACAGTTTTCAATTGCCAGGAATAATTGGGAGTTAATGGCCCAAAACTATTTTCCCCCCAATGATTCTAGGAATTAAGGCTTAATTAAACGTTGTTACAGAGCAACCTTATGCAGGTCTACTCAGTTCATTTGAGTTCCATGAGGCTTATGTGCAGGATACAATGTCTGAGAGTGCTTTCCTAACTGAAACTGTGCAATAAAATATTTGGGCAAAACACAATTGGCATAATGTATTCTCTAAGGCTTTCATTGGCCGGGATCTGATGATTGTTGTGTGTGTTCAAGCTCTTTGGCCATGTTCTGAATATAGGAAGGAAGGAAGAACAACCTTCAGGAAGAAAAACCTTCAGAACACGGCCAAAGAGCCCAAAAAACCCACAACAATAAGTGGGTTTACGCTGACACAACCTGAATTGGATGTCAGAAATATTTGGTTTAAACTAACGTAAGGCTTCCTATCTTCCCCTGTCTGATTTTCTCATTTACTTCTTTTTGCCCTGGAAAAGTCTCAGGGAACCTCCAGACAGGGGAGCTTCCAAGTAAAAAAAAAAAATCCCTTTGCCAAAGGCAAAAATGGCACTCCCCTGTTGCTATTCAATCCTGCCAGCCAGCCCCCGCCCCTGCCGATCCTGAGGCTCCCAAGGGCTTCCCCAGGGCACAAAGGAGTCCTAGGAAGCCTCGAAACCTGAAAGGGGTGTGTGTGAAGGAAGATTTCCTTTAGTTTAAATATTTCCAGCACCCAATCCGGGTTACGCCAGTGTAAGTTTATGCAACAGGATTTTTTTCTTGCATGTTGTGTGCTGTCAAATTGTACCTGACTTTCATGTTAGGCATCTTTCAGTCTCAAGAGACTATGGTTAATGTGCTCCGTATGGAGGACTTGGAACAGCGTCTAGTATGGCTGAGAAGGCCAATTCGAGAGTGACTATCCCTTTCCATATTGTTTCGACCCTGTATGCAAAACTGGAGTGTCCTCTCCAGAGCACGAAGCCTGGGTAAAATAATATGGAGGATAGGCTGTTACCCAAGCAGCAAATCCCCCCTCTCCACATCACTGAAATAGTCCAATGGAAAGGCAAGAGCCAATACAACTGGTTCCAGTGAAGTCGAAGGAGTTGCCAGAACAACACGAACTGCCTCCGGGACTCCAGCTCCAGATTTTGCCTCGAGGTTAACTCCTGAAGCCTTTTCCATCAGTGAATATAGCCACAATGCAGACGAGGTTTGGAATCAGAGTTTTCCTTCTCCTAGATGGGCTGCCTTCCAAGGCTGATGAGCCCCACCTTATCCAGCTTGGTGCAACCCTAATAGGTGAGAAATTTAAGGCTTAAAATATATATATATATATATTGTATTTAAAGATTCATACCTAGATCTCCCAACTGTCTGCCTTCCCACTCTGTCCACTTGACCATTCTGGGTACCCAGTGAATATTTAGGAAAAGCCCAACTGTACAGGCAGCCTCTGCTGTTTCATTTGGCGAGTGTCCAGTCAGTTTTTGACTTCCTTCTTGCCCTGCAACTCATTAAGTTCAACACTGGCAAGTGCCAACAACAACTGGAAGAATGCTTCTTTTTGAATCCTTTCACTGCTAACTGCACACTGCAACAGAAAAATTTGCTGCCTTGTTGCTCTCGGCTCAGCTTAAGTGCTCTTCCTTTTATGCCCAGTGTGTGGCCGTTGTCTTCACCGGGAATGTGCTGATTCTGCTTCTCTCATTCTATTATTGCAGAGCTGGGAGAAATACAATCCAAGTATTCACTTTCCACTTGAAGGTATCTTAGCCTGCTTGCGCCAGTAGAAGGCAAGCTCCCAAATCCAACTGCTCATTATTGTTCACAGATCATCTGAAATATTCCATGTTGCTTAATCTGTCTAAACAAAGGTCATTTTATCTATTTCAGAAGTCCGCAGCGTTGTGTCTGTGAAAAGACCTGAGATTTAATTCAGCATGCTAATTTGTTTTGTAATGAGTTTCGCATTGGACCATTGAAAGGCAACTAGCAGCGTGAGAACATCAATATGCCACTGGCCACAAGATTCTGGAGAGATAGTTGAAAGAAAACTAGGAGTGTGAGAATATCAATATGTTGCCGGCTGTGGGATTCTGGAAACAGGCCAAAAAGAAGTTAACTTTCCATGCCCTGTCTGGAACCTTGCCATGCCCCAACAACTGTTGCTTGAAATCAAATACACAGCAGCTTTGTCCATCCACAGATAGTGAACAGCAGGTCCCAGAAATTCCGGCCAGCATTGCCCGTGTACTAAAGCAGGGGTCCCCAACCTACAGTCCACAGCCCGTGCCAGTCCGTGGCCATGGCAGGACCAGGCTGCGAAGACAAATCTCCTGCCCTTCCGCATGCACCCCATCTGCACGCACAGCCCGCCACCTGCACACACAGGTGCCTCGCCCCTCTGTGAGCGCACCCCACCCCTTTGTGTATGTGCATAGGTGCATTCCGCCCCTTCACGCATGCATGCGAGCATGCCCCACCCACCTGCAAGAGTGGGGGTGCTTCCCCCCCGAGAACAGACCCCATCCCCCCAACCAGTCCACAACTTAGAAAAGGTTGGGGACCCCTGTAAGCTAAAGGATGACAGGAACTGCAGTCTAAATTTAAAAAGAGCTGGCATATAGATCAGAGCTGGCTGGATAGCTCAGTGAGTTAGGCATCTGGCTGAGGAGCCCAAGTTTGGCCATTTGATTTCCCCCTGTGCCACCCAAGGGAAGAGCCAGCCTGTGTAGCTTCAGGCAAAGCTGCACAGTCCCAGGACGCCCGTAGAACAGCGATGGCGAACCTCTTGGAGCCCGAGTGCTCAAACTGCAACACAAAACCAACTTATTTATTTCAAAGTGCTAACACTGCAATTAAACCTGAATACTGAGGTTTTAATTTAGAAAAAAAAATCTCATAGATGCCCGAACTAATTAACATCTTTTTTCTTAAAAGAAAAACACAATAACAGAGCTTTCAATGATAGTTTTTTATTGGAAAAAATCAACTCTACTAAACGAATTTTTTTTTATTAAAGTTAAAAAAAAATTGTACACATAGCCTGAAGCCAGGTAATGGATACTCAACTTGTAATATGATCATATGCCAGACTTAAATTGTATGGGGCAAGCCTTACTCTGGGACCTTTCCCTGCTTCTACAGGTGTTGGATTAGTAAAAGTCAACCTGTATTAGGATGAGCAAAATGAACAAGAAAGCTAAGCTTGCCTTACAAATGAGCCTCTATAGATGAATAAAGAACTACAGTACTGTATTTGAAAATTAGCTTTAAACATAGCTGTTTTATTACATAGGGCACTTGGGGAAACCAAGCCTTGCCAAGAATTAAGCATATGTCCAAAGAAAGTGAGGTAATGGGACTGTTTAGTTGGTTTATTTATTTTACTTATATAATGCATTTCTCCCCATAGGTGGCCCAAGGCGGCTGACAGCAACTAAAACTATAAAACAATCAAGTTTTAAAATACTATAGAAAAATCATATTAAAAACAATTAACCATGTATCAAGATTTAAAACAAGATAATATATGTATTGTTCCTATAATCTTGATTTAACCTGGATTAGAGGTATTTTTTCTATAAAGTAGATCTAATGCTAGTCATCTTTAAATGAGACCTGCTCTTATTTTTGACCTTCATAATCCATAGCTCAGTGGTTTAGGTACTCAGGTTGGGAGTTCAATTCCCCACTGGGCCTCCTGCAAGTAGAACCAGCCTGGGTGGCCTTGGGCAAGCTGCACAGCCCCAGGGTGCCCTCGCCTAGAGGAAGGGAAGGGAAAAGCACTCGCTACCAAGAAACCTCTGAAAAGGGATCCCCGTAAGTCAGAATTGACTGGAGGCCACTTTATTATCATTACTATCTTTTTAAAAAAAAAAAAGTTTGGTTGCCCTAAAAGCACAGGTAAAAAGCTACACTTGAACATCCAAATTCTTTTCAGAGAAGTTCTGGTTTATCGGAGCAAAGTGGGGCCAGGAGAGGTCCATGAGAAGGCAAGAGAGCAAGCTGGGGCCACGGGCCCTTTGACCAAGTCCTTCTTCCAATAATACCCTTGTCGTTTACAGGAAGCTGCGCAGCTTCTAGAAAACTCTCAACTGGAGCAAAATGATGATGATTTATGTTTTTTTGATGCTGTGCACGTACACAGTTCTGTGAGATGCAACCTGGGCTCAGGGAGGCTGCAAACATGCGTTTCAGAGCGCCCTGGGAAGAACGAAGCGGATGAGGTTGTTGCTCTTGCCTTAACTTCTGGGCTCGGGGTTGGTTAGCACAGCCCTCCCAATGTGGCGCCGCCAGCTCTTCTCCGCCCCCTCCTCCACCTACAGAAAAGCCTGGCCAAAGCCCATTGCTTCGCCTGTCTTCCCCGCCCACAAAGGGTTAGGTTTGTGGGGCCGTAGGAGGGAGTGGGTAGGGCTGGGAAGCAGGTGAGGGGCGTGTGCTTCTGAAACGCATCCTTCTCTATCAGTAGAGGACCTTCCCTCCTTTGTTCTGCTGCTGTGCTGGCAGGCGGGGGGGGGGGGTTGCCTTTTCCTTTTGANTCCCTCAGCTGCCAGCCAGCCACACAACCTGCGGCCTCACCCCCACCAAAGTCCCTCCCTCTCCCCAACCTTCCCTGCGCCCTCTGCATGGATGCACAGAGGCAAGTTAATGCGGAACAAAGAGGCTGGAGTCTACAGCACCTTGCAAATGAGCCTCTGTGAGTTATGGCTCATTTGCCCACAGAGAGGGCTCTGAGTGCCAGCTGTGGCACATTCCTGCCCTAAAAGAAAGAAATGGTAGACCACTCCTCCATACTCTCTACCCAGAAAACTCTGGAAAGGGCCACCATTAGTCAAAATTAACTTAAGGGCAAGGGGGTATCATTATTATTATATATACTGTAGATCAGGAAGTTGGACTGTGTGGCTACAGAATCAGTTTAAATCTCCACTGTGCCTCTTGGGAGAAGGGCCAACCAAAATCTCAGAACATTTGTAGCTGATGGGGCTACAGGCCACCACCTGTGTATCCCTGGGCACACTGCATGATCCTAGGGTGCTATCAGGAGGGAGTGCTAAACCATTTTTTAAGTACTTAAAAGCTTCCTCCACCAACAAACACACTATATAGATTTTGCCACATACATTGAAAAGGTTGTAAATTCAAGTTTATTGGCAAGTATACATCGTTACATTTGTTTTTTAAGTACACATGACTATGCCAGCAGTATCTGTATTTATACAGAGCCAAGAAGTTTAGCATGTGCAACAATACAAAGTAGGCCAGGAGCAGAATGGGACTCATAAGCCAGAAGATGATAATGGGCCTGATCTCTACGCCCGGGAAGATCCTAAGCAAGTGCAGGGAAGCCACATGGAAAGATCACCACCTAAAGGCAAGAAAGTCTATGCTGTCAGACCACTCTCCAAAAGTGAGGGGGCAGGAGGCCCACAATGCTGGCTTCTGGTCAGAACTGACTGCAAAAGGACATGCATGTCGCTGCCTGGTTACTTTCCGGCGACAGCAGGCTTGTCCTCACGGCTGATGGGAATGCTGCGCTCCAGCGCAGCTTGGCCAGTGGTAGGTGCTGTGATGGACAGCACTCCATCCGGAGAGAGGGCTGAGGCGACTTTCGAAGGATCAACTCCCTTTGGCATCATGTAGCGACGGTGGAATTCCCGGGAGATGTACCCATGCTCGTCCTGGAGAAAAAGAAACAGACACAGATGAGCACCTAGTAAGACATACCCACCTTTCTCAACTCAGCTGAGCAGATCAGACAGCATCAGCCACGTCTCATTGTTTAGGTTAAAAGTTGTTTTATTGAAACGCAAGGGCATATGCACTGAATAATAAATCGCATTTTAACATTTAGGCACATTGGAGGCCATCCCGTTACTTGCTCAGAGCTTCAACATGAGTCCAATCCTAATACCCAGCCAAAACAGACTTATAATTAACAAAACACAATTTGAGAAACATCCTGTAAGGAAAAAAGGAAGTCAACGGAAAAAAAAACATTGAAAGGACACTGGTCAATTGCTTCTTTATGGTGCTCAATGTAAGCATATGAGCTCCCTTATGTACCCTGGAACTTCAGGCATATTTTTAAGGGGGGAAAGTCTCCCCCATTTTGGTCTCCAAAGCGAGATTAGATGGCAGACCACCTTGCAGAACCAAACAACACCCCCTTTCAGCCGGATAGGTGTTTTTAGTGTTTTTAATGCTTTTATATTGTTTTTATGTCTCCTAATTTTAAAAAAATGTATCTTACTTTTGCTGGTCAATGACCGTAATAAACATTTATTATTATAGGTGACAGTTTTCTTGCCCCAGAGCTTCCCCCCCCCTTCAAGTTTCTTCTTCCCCCATCCACAAAAGAGGTGGGACACTCTTCACTCTTAGGCCTGTCTTTGCGTGTCCTGTTTGCTGCTTGGCATGCTCAGGGCAGCTTGCCAAGCAATTGTCTATCTTTTCTTCTTCTTTTTGATTCCCACAGACATCCAGAGTTATTCATGCAATTCCTTTTTGTGAAACATGCTTGAATGCAAATATGATCATATAAAAAGTGTTTGTCTTTCCTCCCTCCCCGGGTTAAGCAGTTGGGTTGTGTGGTATATGTTTTGTTGGGTGGAGTGGGATTCTTTTAAAACTTTGGTTGATCTATCCTATGATTTATTTACCCTGATTGCACACGGTCTCTATGTTGTGTGTGGTTTTTTTTTTCCTCTGAGGTACCTCAAATCCTATTCTTTGAAGGGCTTTCCGTGGCAACAGTGGGATAGTGTGGCAGTCTATAATGGTGCCGGACCCCAGGAGAAAACTGACCACTGGAAAGACTCGCTCATTCTGAAACCAACCCTTGCTTAATGCATTCTTGGCAGCATTTGGAAGAGACTGTTGGGCAAGGTAATCTAAGTGAACTCATTCAAGCCTCTTGACTAAGCTTTCAGAAGAGATTTGAATGGGATCCCTTTGTTTTCCTGAACAGCCTTATTGCTGAATTTTCCCCCCAGTTCCACAGCAGTCCCACCAGCTGGCCGATTTTGTTTTGCCTCTTTCTGAACAGCGTGGCTGGCCTGCTCATCTATTCAACTTTCTCTCCAGCTTTGCTGGCCTGTTTTCTTTGCTTTCAAAATTTTTAAATTTCTGGATCTCTCCATCTGCACAAGCAAATGGTGTGCCTTTTTAAAGGTGGATTTTAAAATCCAGCACAGAGCTCTGTACAAACCTTTTACACAAAGGGTAGCACAACCTGTTCTAGACCTGATCCTACTGCCCAGCTCCCGGGCTTTTGGGGAAAGCCTCTCCATAATTTGGAAAAGTGGCATGATTTGACCAAAGAGGATGAAACTGACAGTTCCCCAAAGGCAGAAACTTAGACTGGGAGATCATCTGCCACCTTGAGAGAAAGGGGAATGATAGGCAGGATGCAACTTTTCGCTTCTGGGAAACTGAAACTTCAGAGATAAAATGCTGCATTAACAGTCTCTTCTTGCAAGTAAAAGGGACACAGTCTCCACACCAAAATGTCCCTCAATGCAGCAGCATTTGAGAGTACTGGGGGAAATTTAAAACTCTGACAGCTTTCCAAGTTTTACCACCTGCTCAGGATGAGCACTAGACCTGCATTTTGTCTCACTCATTATAAACTTCTGACCTAAAAGATCCATCCAGTATCCCAAGGATCATACTCTCCTTAGTACAGAGAAGGGATAGGTTAACTGGCGCCAGTATGGGTTAAAGTCATACACATCCAAGGAGATTGCCTACTCCTGCAGTAGGACAACTGTTAAGATAAAAATGAGTGTCTGCAGTCAATATTTTCAAGAAGTAATTCTCCAAAATATTTTCAGGTATTTTTGTAAGCTGTATCTTTCCAGGTTGCCTTTGGTAAATGATTCATATAAACTGGACTCATTTTAGTCTGACCGCAGACACATTTATGGGGAGGGAGAAGGTGTCCCCTGAATAGGCCTTGCTACCGCGTAAGACTATAAAGTTCTTTTGACTAAACTACCATATTGTACTTTCAAAGCAACATACCGGGCGCTCCTCGTGTTTGGCATGAACCTCAATGTAGTCACCCACCACCTTCACATTCAACTCTTCTGGTGAAAAATGCTTCACATCCAGCATCACAGAGAACTTGTCTTTATCCATCTTCACCTGGAGACAACGAGAAAACTCAGATCACAATTTAATTACTATTCCGCACCCTTGCCAAACCTGTCCACTGCAGCAATATAGTTTGTCCACCAAGGAAACTTCACTCTAACTGTGATCCTCAATTAGATCACCACAACCTGGTGCTTGCTGTTCATGTTAGACTACATCTCCTATCATCTCTTTGGCATGAGAATGGTGGGAGCTGTAATCCAATGTATCTGGAAGATAGAAGACTGAGCTACACACAGGAAATGTTGAGATACCACCACCAACATGTCTGCTACCACTGGCAGCCCCGACTAATTAAAGAGACAATCATTTGGTGAAGCTGAGTTTAGGGGGCAATTTTCCCTACCCGATGCACTATGATTCTCAGAAACAAAATGAGAAATGACTAGAACCTGCCCCCCTTAAAGTTTTTTCCACAATGGCAGGGGGCTGTTGTTTTAAAGGAGAATCTCATTTTCTATCAGCTTCTAGGAGTACAATTTTAATTATTTAGTGCAATGGTTCCCAAATTTGGAGTTCTAGGACTACAACTCCCCAAAGCCCTAGCTAGCACAGCCAAAGTTCAGGGCTTCTGGGAATTGTAGTCCACAATGTATGGAAACTCCAAGTTTGAAAATAGCTAAAACTGAGGGTGGGTGGGTTTCTGGGGACCACACAAGGTCCAACTTCTTCCAGTCTGAGTTCCCAAATGCTGGACAACCATGTTCCCCAACAACAGCTAAAAACACCGAATGCTTAGATATGAGAGTTGTTCCCAAACCTGACAACTTTTTTTAGACCATGCAAGGTGGGATGAAGTAATGATCAAAGCTTTCTGTCTAGAAATTTTCAAAACAGGCAGCTCTGTGCAGGCACCACTCACTTATGAGTGCAAATGCCTAAAGTCCATGATAAAAACATTAATTTTTCCCAAGGTATGCATCTGGATTTTTGTGGGTGGGGTAATTCCACTCCCCCCATCTAGAGTGGCTAGCACCACTCTATATATAGATCCACTGTATACAGAAACAGACACTGTGTCCAATCGCCTTGCCAAAGGGTGGGGTAAAGCATGCTGGGGAAGACAGTCACAACAGAGAAAATGGAAACAGAATGTACAACTGAGTCATGCAGCAGCATCGGCTACACAGCTATTCGATCAGGCGAGTTTCTAACTGAAGGGTTCGGACCATCAGCCATTAAGTAAAACATCATACAACACTCTTTCTGCTGATTTTATTTAATGTAGTCTATGTGCCTTAATTTGATTGCCCAGGAAGAGGCAGAGGACCACAGCGCAGTGCAACATGCATGCTTTAAGGCATGTATGTACTACCCATGCAGAGGTTTGCAGGTTCAGTCCCTGCAGGGCCAAAGAAACATGCAGAGAAGTATCCACAGCACCCCTGCAACATTCCCCAAAATATATCTTGTCTTAGCAAAATCTTGGCACTGACAGATGGTGCAACGTACTTAGCCTGGCCACCAATGCAGGACTAAATTCCCAGCTACTCCAGTTAAAAGAAAACGAAGTGGCTACAGAGCTTTGGACAAAGGCAATCAAGTTTCTAACCCCCCCCAAGTCAAGAAACCAGGAGGCTGGCTTTAGACCAGTCACACATTCTCATCCTGTAAATACGTCACAGGGCCTTTGTGAGTGCAATGGGAAGCAGGCTAGGCATCTACAAAACCTTGGTGCTCACTGGGGAGAAAGGTGCAGTATAGATATAACCAATGACTAATTAGAAAAAGTATTGAAATGGATCAAGTTGCAAGTGATGGAAAATATGTTTGGGAGAAATAAGGAGGAGAGAACACTACTGAAAAAATTGATATTATTATTGGACTGGAGGAGAACAGAACCTGATCTGTCTGTGGGGCCAGAAGCCAGCTCCCCATCATGGCACGGGACCAAATATGTTCACCACCAAGCCAACTCAGAGACTAGACAGGACAGTGTGCCCTTCCTAGCAAGTGCCAGGGCTTGGGGGGGGGTGTCTCCAAGGGGTGCGTGCCAGGCCTTTCCCAACAAACCGTGCAAGGCAACCCAGCTGGTATTGTCCGTCCGGTCCCCCCCTCGCCCTCCCCACGGGACCAGCTGGAGAATGTTACCATAATAGGCAGCAGAGCCTCCTCATTCTCCTGGGCACCTTTCCGCGAGCTCCCTCGTCCCCCTCCGGCTTCTTCTCTCCTCCCAACACCCGACACGCATCCAGCGCCCCCTTCCCACGACCAAAGGCGTTCCCCTCCTTGAACCTTCGGGAACCGTCGCGCCACGAAAGGCACCCACCCACCCACCTGTTGCAGGGGCTCTCCAGCCCTCTCTGCACAGGCTCGGGGGGGGGGAGAGACTTCTTGCCCCAGCCTAGGCACAAATCGAGACCCGCCTCCCTTCCCGTTTTGCGCGGCTCATCCCCCCCGCGGGCTGCCTTACCTCCGAAAGCCCCGTCAAAGGCATCTGCATGCTGGGCATCCGCATGTAGAAGGGGGAGAGGGTGGCCGACATCAGCTCGTTCTCCAGCAGCCCCTCGCCAAACCTCTGGTCGAACAGGCGAGCCGGGCACATGGGGTGGAAGAGCGACGGGAAGCCCATCGGGCGGCGGAGCCACGGGTGGTGGATGGCGATGTCCATGGCGCGGATGGTGGAGCCCACTTTCTCTGTCTCTCGGACACAAAAGCTGCGCACTTTCTCTCTCGGAGACCAAGGCTGCGAAGCTCAACTTTCGCGGACCAGGGAGAACGATGGCGCGTCGGTCCGGCGGCAGCGCCTTTTATAACCCGCGCGGACCCGGACCCGCCCCCTTCGGAACCCGCTAGAAGACGGCGGAGCTTTCGGGACGGGGGCGTGGCCTGGGCCCCGCCCTCTCTTGACGCACCCAAATAATTGGCACGTGAGGCCCAATCGGCTGGCGCGAGAGGGCAGGACGGGGGGGCGTGTCTGAGGCTCGGCCGCCTCAGGGCTGTAGTCGCCGCCTCTGACAGGATTTGTTGTCCTCCTCCTCCTCCGGCTCCTTCGCCCCACTTCTCGCTCTTTCTGATCGCTTTCCTCCCCCCCTACAAAACCTCCCCACACACACACAAAAAAAACACCTTTCTGGCTCTGAGCCAGACCTGAACGGGCCGCCCCCGGGCACATTCCGGCCAACTCCATGGTGCAAACCAGATGGGGCAAACGGGGCTCCTCACGAGGAAACGTCATGTTTGAATTTGTCGCAGGCGTTTTTAAAAAAGTGATTATTACAAACGAAGGAATATGACGTAGCGCGTCTTCCCAGGATTAGTACTGTATTGTCCCCTTTTCAGACATTAACGTGCACTGGGGGCAGATGCGCGTGTAGGGCGCGCCTATAGACGGTTGAAATGGAGAATCTCCTTTCTCCCATAGACTTCAGAAGCGTGGGTATTGGATCCCGGTTAAGTTCTCACCCGGGTCCAATACGTTTCACGAGTCAAAATGTATGGTGAGAAGTACTCTAGATGCAATATTACCTAGTCATGACCCCTGTCACCAGATACTGGTGTGGGGACATGTGGCTTTGTGAATGTTCTAGAACTACAACTCTCATCATCCTTCACCACTGGTTATGGTGATAAGGATTGATGAGATCTGCAGTCGAACACCCAGAGAGCTCTATTTCCTACCCCTGATATAATCTATTCTAAATCATCACTTGCAGGGCCTATAAAAACTATGCCGCAGTCCTTTGTGAAAAGTCATACCAGGGAGGCATACATCACTTTGTAAATCAACTCCCGTAGGTTACAACAGTTCAGTCTATTTGGTTCTCAGTATCTCTGTAAACCTTCCATTCAGGAGTCAGAGGTGTGACAAAATATGTAATACTGACTGGCAGAGAAAGAAAAGCCTCAGAAAGCTCTGGATCTCTGCTCTTGCCCAACCCACACCTAATGTAAGGTGCACTGTTCCAGGTAGAGATTTCCTTTCAAAGTATCCATCATTTCCTTTGTCATTGGAACTGCCGTACGTCAGAACACCTGGCTGTGCTGAGAAGGCTCCACATTCGCCTTTCTTTGAGTAACAGGAATGATGAATCTTTGGTCTGTCTCATGTTGCTGGAGTGCAAATCCCATCCTCCCTCATCATTGACTGTATTAGTTAGGGCTGATGAGTGTTCCAGTCTAATGATATTGAAGGTCAACACCTTCTGCAACCCTGTTTTAAAGGAAAAGATTGTGCCATTTTTGTATGAGAAATATCAGCTCATGAGTAATATTGCCCCAATACTATTAATCTTCATAGTTATCAGCAACAAGGTAAAGGTAAAGGTTCCCCTTGACAATTTTTGTCCAATCGGGTCTGACTCTAGGGGGCGGTGCTCATCCCCGTTTCCAAGCCATAGAACCAGCGTTTTGTCCGAAGACAATCTTCCGTGGTCACATGGCCAGTGCGACTTAGACACAGAACGCTGTTACCTTCCCACCAAGGTGGTCCCTACTTATCTACTCGCATTTGCGTGCTTTCGAACCGCTAGGTTGGCGGGAGCTGGGACAAGCGACGGGTGCTCACTCCGTCACGTGGATTCGATCTTATGACTGCTTGGTCGTCTGACCCTGCAGCACAGGCTTCTGCGGTTTAGCCCGCAGCGCCACCACGTCCCTTCAGCAACAAACATATCACTGTTATTGTAATATTAGTTTTGCATTGTAAGAACAAACCCGTGCACACACAGGGAGACATCCTCTCTGGCCCTGCATGGGGGCTGGCAAACAAGCATTCACATGAGAGGCTCCCTGCTAAGAAGGCTGGCAGGAGAGGACTCTACAGAGGACAGAGCTGGACAGCACTTACTGGCCCTTATGAACAAGCCACACGACCACAATGTTTAGGGCCAGCTGTGCCACAGAGTGGCCTTGGCATGCTGCTTTTCCTCAACCTCAGCCTCCTCCTGTCTGCAGCAGAGGGATAAAAACAAGGTCCTACCTTGCAAGGCAGGTGTTAGGGTGGCATGGGTTGCTTTGTACCCTAAAATCTAGTAGATAAGGCAAGGATTTGGAATGTGTTGCCAGAATGTTCTGAATGTGCTCTGTTGCTTTAAAATGTTTTTAGTATTGACTTTATTTACCAGTTTTAATATAATACTTGTTTAATTTTGTTTTAATTTTGTATACTTATGGATTTTAGCTTTTATATATATTTTATATATATTAATGATGTAAGCTGCCTTGGGTCCTGTCTTAGGAGAAAGACAGGGTAGGGTAGGGAGAAAGAAAGAATGAAAGCTTCCATTGTTTCTCACCTCTCAGCTGATGGTACATGAGATCTAACATCTAGGGACACGTGTTCCCCGGTCATGAAATAAGAGCTAAATATAACGATGATTCTTCTTGGTGATTATACAGCCACAAAATCCCTGTTTTATTTTACATCTGTTGCTACTTGTTGGCTGTGCCTCCCCCCGCCCCCCCGGGCAGAACTCTGAGCTCACTGGGCCAGTCCCACAGAAGTGACGGGTTGACAAAAACTAAGCCCTCATATTCACAACAGTTAGCTACACTAGCACTGTTACTTCAGAAACACTTACTTGATGGCTTTTAAAAAAATCAGGCCTAGCCATGTTTGATACCGAACTTGGAAATGCTGTGGTGGTGGTGGTGGGGGTATGTTGTGTTGGACTGCAACCCCCAGAACTCCACAGGCCACAGTGGCTGCAGATTCTGAGAGTGTTCGTAAAAAAAAAAGCTAACATTTCTAGCCTTAGGATTGACCCTGAGAAAAATGCCAAATATTAGGTCATACTTTTATTCAATAACATAAAAGGGGTGCAAAAACTGTACACCTATTAAGACCTCCAGATCCTTTAATCAGGCAGGAGCTCACCAGAAAGGAAAGGAAAAAGGGAAGAGGGGGAGGCGGAACCTGTTTTTAAAGTCATGTCATCTGCAAGGTGTTTGAAGATACAGTACAAGATTTCCAAGTAAGTAACCATCTTAGTCTAATGCAGCAAAAGAATCAGAGAATCTTCTAGTGCCTTTAAAGTAAAAAATCCTATAGAGCAAATGACTGTGTGCCATTATTCCCAAAAAAGCTGCTAAACCAACTTCTCAGCATCCTCTATAGCAGACCTACTCTACAGTAGAAGAAATTGTTTTTCCAAAGGACTACTGGATTGCCACCATAACGGACACTCTCTTGAAAACAGAAAAAACCATTTCTATAACACCTCAGGGGCAATTGACTGGTGTAACTGGTCTAAATATTGCTAGGATGTTTATGTAAGCCAACCCTGTGTTGTTCATTTTCTATTTTATTCAAACCATTTGTTTGTTGACTTTTTGATGAGCATGGCTCTCTGAGCAACTTGGTGGATTTAGAAGAGGTAGCCAAATTAGTCTGTGCAAGCTTTTCAGGCAAAATTAAAAGAAAAAAATAATATTAATATTTTAAAAATTAAAATTAAAAAGACAAAAACCCACAGCACTTTAAAGACTAATTGTTATATTTTAATGTGAACTTTTGTGGACATGTCCACTTCTTCAGACATATGGAGAGAAATACAGTCATAGCAAAACTGTCCCTTTCTGCCACAGTCTTTGTGAGACTAAAATATGGACTTCACATGTAAAACATGTCAGAGGTGTATGGTTGCATCTCACACGTGCTGTAATTTATGACCTGTGTTTGGTGTTCAGTTTTACCAAGACAATCTTCACAGAATATGAAAGTTACCATTCTTAAAAAGAAACATTACAGAACAAGAATACAGAGGGAAACAGCTGAAATAAAATGTATACACATGATGGACACTCATCATAAATATAAGTCAGGGTTTCTTAACTCATGATCAAATATAATACCTGTGCAGTTGTCTACTTCACAACTAACAGACCCATCTTTTAGTACAAGGCTCAAAGGTAAAAACTGTTAATGTTCTCTGTAAAACATGCATTGTTCCTCTGCAGTCTCCTTTAATCATGTTACTGCTCACAGTTGGCATTTACAGCACCACAAACACTCCTTCCCCTCATTTTTCTGCTCTTGTCTTGTGTTTGGTTTTCTTTCTCTTGTGGAAATGTTTACAAACCAGTCTCCAAAAGAATTTAACACCAAACACAGGTCATAAATTATTGCATGCATGTGTGAAAGGCAACCATACACGACTGAATCTCAAAGCCAGCGTGAATGTTTTACTTGTGAAGTCCATATTTTATTGTATTTCTCTTTATATGTCTGAAGAAGTTGACCTGTCCATGAAAGTTCACATTAAAATATAACAGTCTTTAAGGTGTTACGGATTTTTGTATTGTTGTTACAGTAGATTAACATTATTAACAAATAAATCAAAAGCATTTTAAAAAGAGATGAGAAGTATTTTTAGATGTCAGATCAAGGCATTCTCTCATAAATACTAAGCTTCAAAAGAATATTCTGTTGGCAAAAAGAGTTTTGTTTCCAACCCAGGAACCTTTTGCTGCCTGCAGTAGTTGAAACCACAGAGGGTCCGGTGATGTTTCAGAGACCTGTTAACACTGGCGATGGGCACAACTGTTGTCATTAATCCCAACATCCTGTCTGTTCCTTTACAACCTAATGAGCTCTGGGAAGAAGTGGAATTCCCTTCACACTTCAGTGTGAAGGATCTTGGGGATGAGAGAAAAAGAGACATTGCAGCTGAGCTATTCTGGGGGGACTAGATGGAGATGCCACAGCCTTTAAAGTCCTTAATAAGACCCTAACCCAACAGAGAACAGAGAGCATTTGAAGAGGAAATTACAACATCCCAAAGGCATTGAAAATCTGCTTGCATCATGTCTAAAGAGGCATTAATGTAACAGTTGCT